GCGATAGCGTTTTCCAAAGCAATCCGGTTAGGCAGGCGATTGGCCCCCTGTACTGATTTTTGGTTCTCCTTACGTGCTTTGTGCCGCTGCTGTTCAAGTTTCCATACAAAATTTGACATTGACATTTCGGTTTGCAAACTATTCGAAATCGATAATGGTTCGTGCTAGGGGTACAGAGCAAAAACTAGGGCCGCTATAGATTCTGATGTATATATTGGCACGACAAGGAAAAAGTTTGTCCAACCCGGGCCGAGCCCTAAAGTAAGGCTTGTGTTAGTGAATACTAGGGCTAGGTTAGCATATAGAAATAAACTAAATCATTAAACTCTACATAGAACATAATCTCCTTCGTACAGCGAATATGGCCGGCGTACTCTTTATTTGCGAGTGGCGGCGGTCGTGTCTGGGCGTGGTCTGTGTCGGATATTGATTCGCTCAGCTGATTGTGTCTGCGTGACACGTATCCGTACCGTAGTACCTACTGTAATGTTGTCCGTAGGTTAGCGACTACGTCCGCTCAAGCTTACGTTTTACTAGACACTAAAGTCCATCGCGGATCAATCTATCCTTTGATGATTAGATAGAATTATAATGACAAATATTGTCGCAAACGAAAACACGATCGTTTCTAAAACTATGTCCAATGGAAGAGAAATATTTGTAACAACGATTGTACTATCGGAAGCGATTCGATTCAATTAATGTATAGATTAAGTGATCATAATAGAAAACACGCATTGCTAAAACGGGCCCATCTCTGAAACTATTTCATTCAATCAAGTTTTTTTTGTTATTGTAATTTTTTATTATCAATTTTCAATAAACAATACTATATATATACGCCAGGAGGAGCTCGATGGCGCAAGTGGTTAGCGCGTTCGGCCGCGATCATTGAAGTTAAGCAACTTTCGCAGTGGTCGGTCATTGGATGGGTGACCAAAAATTTACTGTCTCGAGTTCCTCCGTGCCTCGGAAGGCACGGTAAGCCGTTGGTCCCGGCTGCATCTGCAGTCGTTAGCACCCGCCAATCCGCACTAGGCCCGCGTGGTTGGTCATGGCCCAATCTCCCTATTCCATCCATAGGGAAGGCCTGTGCCCCAGCAGTGGCGACATTAATAGGCTGATGATGATGATGATGATGATGATATATATACTATTGATATATACATATATCACTTTCACTCGCAAAGGAGTCGTCGTCTTTGGAGCAAAGGAGAGGTTATAAAATGCTAACGTAAGCTACATTCCCGGGCCGGCCGGCATCCATAATTTCATACTAATATTATAAATGCGAAAGTGTCCGTCTATCTGTTAGCTCTCACGGTTAAACAGCTGAACCGATTTTAGGTGAAATTTCGTATTGAGATAGGTAGTTTGAGTCCCGGGATAGGACATAGGATAGTATTCATCCTAGACAACTTTACGGATGAAAAAAGGGGGTTGGAAGTTTGTACGGGAATCCAAATTTTCAGCACCATATAGTTCTACATATTTTCCACTAGGTACTATATTATCGAGGAGTTCGATGGCGCGACTGGTTAGCGCGTTTGCTGCGATCGTTGAAGTTAAACAACTTTCGCAGTGGTCGGTCATTGGATGGGTGACCAAAAATTTACTATCACAAGCTCTTCCCTGCTTCGGAAGGCACGTTAAGCCATTGGTCCCGGCAGCATCTGCAGTCGTTAGCACCCGCCAATCCATACTGGGCCCGCGTGCTGGGTCATGGCCCAATCTCCCTATTCCATCCATAGGAAACATAGGCCTTCCCAGCAGTGTGGACATTAATAGGATAATGATGACTATATTATATCCTCCCAGTCGAATATTGCCACAGTATTCTCCCCTAGGAGCTCGATGACGCTAGTGGTTAGCGCGTTCAGCTGCGGTCGTTGAAGTTGAGCAACTTTCGCAGTGGTCGGTTATTGGATGGGTGACCAAAAATTAACTATCTCGATTTCCTCCTGGCCCGCGTGGTGGGTCATGGCCCAATCTCCCTAATCCGTCCATAGGGAAGGCCTGTGCCCCAGCAGTGGGGACATTAATAGGCTGATGATGATGATTATGATTCTCCCCTTTGCTGATCTCGATGGGGCGCAGTGTTTGTGTTTAGCACGGACTCTTAGCGATTGAAGAAGTTAAGCATTTTTGCGCCTATTTGACAGCATGAGAAATATAATGTACCAATTATTGGCATCTGTATTTAATATGAATATTCGCAGCTATTTCAGTATTCTGAAATTATTGTTAACTTTTCCATGAAATCATTAAATAGAAATGATTATTTGCTCCATGGTGACGACGTGACCGAAAACGTCTGGGATTGGCCAAGACTAAAACGAGGTCACACGCTAGTATACCCGGTCAATATGACATAACATTGTATCGTTTGACGTTTTAATGACAGTCGTGTGACGTCACACACCACTTAGACGCCATAATGTACGGAGAAACGTTTTCGCGGCAACTTGAAATTTTAATTTTTAATTAAGTGTTTTTTTACTCAATTACACAACGGAATTTAAAATATCCACTTTTTATGGACACCATAAACAACGTGAGGTCGTTTTCTTAAACTTGTCCAATGACCTATTACTGGTCATCGGATGGCCCAATTTCCCTTTTCCATCCATAAGGAAGGCCTGTGCCCCAGCAGTGGGGACAAGAAAAAGCTGGTGATGTTATGTGATGTGGATGGACGACCAATAATTTTATTACCCTTCTATAACTTGAATACCATAAATGTTGACTGCCTTCTTTGGCGTTGGATCTGCTCTAAATTGTAAACAGGAAGCCATGGGTCAGACAACAGGAAACGGCTCATCACGTACTTAGTACTTACAATATTGTATTAGAGGAATTAGTATAGTATGACGATGATGATAATGATGGGCAAAGTGGACGGAAAGAGACGTGCTGGGCGAAGAAAGAAGTCATGGCTCCGGAATATCCGGGAGTGGACCGGTAGTGCCTCCGTCGAACAGCTGTTCCGGCTAGCTGCTGATAGAAATACATACAGGAAGCTAACGGCCAACCTTCAGGATTGAAGAGGCACTGGAAGAAGAAGAAGAAGTAGATTCTACTTTCTGTTTTTTTTTTATTTCGTTGCTGGTCAGCATCAGAGGCCCGAGCAGGAAATTTGACAGATATGTAATCGCATCGTCACCGTCAAAGTTTGTATGGAAGGTGCCAGTTTGTTCTTACGTCCGGTAGAGGCGCTGTTTAGTTTTCATAGAAACTTTTACGATGCGACACAATTATGGAGTTGTCAAAGTTCTTGCTTGTGGACCTCCGGAATTGATACTTGGAATCTGTCGAATTAAACTCACAAATTCATCAGTTAATTTTGAAAATGAAAAATAGCTCATACGAGTAAATTTATTAGTATGTATTTATTTATTATTATTTATATGTATGTCGTCGCTCTTCATCAGACGCGTGGCCGTCAAGAGTAAGCCTATTTAATGTAAAAAAAAAATCTCGGTCACCACTAACTGCTTTGCTAAACCATTATCGAATCCGAATAGTTTGCGAGTGCGAAATGTCACTGACAAATGTGTACTGTTTTTAGTTCTCGTTACCTCCGTTGTGCCGCTGTTCTTCAAGTTTCCATACAAAATTTGACAATGACATTTCTCACTCGCAAACCATTCCAATTCGATATTGATTCGTGCTAAGGGTACAGTACAGAGCTTACTTAATAAATAAATCAAACTTCGTGTAATAAAATTAAATTATGACGTTAAACGATTAATCATTTGGTCGATTTAATTGCGTCAGTGAGTAATCGGCAGCTTGGTTTATTTTTAGCTACGTCGACAGATTAATGGCATCTGTCTTGTACTATGAAGCTGGTTACTGCTTGCCACCTGGTCTCCGTGGTCTTAACAGTTTTGTCCATGGGACAGGGATAATAAGTTAATAAATAACCCGTGTGTTATATGTAGTGGCAAACTTTTTGAGAAAAACCAAAGACAACTATACTAGCGCTATAGACGTTTTTGTATGTAAAATGTCTACTGCGCAGTGTTGGGCAAAATGTAATTAACTTCAAATTAACAATTTCAATTATAAATTGTAATTGGTGACTTTCATTACAAATTACTTGAAATTATTGAAATGTAATTCAATTAACAATTAAAATTAGCAATTGTAATTGTTAATTGCAATTACTCAATTACTTATATATAATCTCTTTTAAAGATGAGGTAGTATTTTAAATAAAACTATTATATTATGATTTATCAAATTTACGAAATAGATCAGAAAAATATCACGGACGTCAACTACTTTATTATTAAATAAAACTATCCAGTATTTATCTATGGTTATAACTTATTGAATATCTATAAATTATTTTAATGACAAGACAATCCGGGAAAGACATATTTAAAATGTTACCTATATCTTTTCCCGCGATAAGATTTGAAAGCGGCTATTGTAATGAGTTTGATTATATTAAAGATTTTATACAAATATCTCTGGTTAGATAGTGAAACAAGCCGAACTTGAAAATATAAGAAGATGAGCACAATATTTACTAGTTTTTTAAGATAAGAAGAATGGTATGCAAACACTTCTACCAAGTTTGTAACGATAAACAAACTTGATATCTACTGAATATGCCATTCCTTATATAGTATATATTCCAAGAGATGTAGGGCATAGCGGATCTTCCGCTTGAATTGGAGCGCCGGTCTGGGGAAATAGATAACCTTAAAGAACATAGAAAGAGGTTAGGAGGACTTTTTGGGCGGAGCAGGCGCCACAGATGAGAGCAAATGCTCATAACTCGAACAAATTTTTTTCATAACGCAACCAAACTTTTTTTTTTATAGATAGGTCCGACAAATGACTCCACCCCACCTGATGTTAAGTGAAGGTGAACTCCAGACGTGAAGATAGCTGATACAGCAGTTCTACCTGCCAAACTGTTATTTAAAGCTCCATTTAAATGTATAACTTTTTGACTGATGTCTCAAATATCTATCCTATTGCTTCAGGAACCTGGTGTCCGCCAGCCAGGACGGCAAGCTGATAGTGTGGGACAGCCACACCACCAACAAGGTGCACGCTATCCCACTGCGCTCGTCGTGGGTCATGACCTGCGCGTACGCACCTTCAGGTTCATACGTGGCGTGCGGCGGACTCGACAACATATGCTCCATCTACAGGTAACTGAAACAACTCTAATATTACTAAAAAGAGATTAGTTGACTCATTTCTTTGTCGCACTAACTGCAAATGGAATAAAGTATTCCATTTGCAGTTAGTGCGACAAAGAAATGAGCCCGCTCATGTGACCTCGACATGACAAATGTAGAGACATTTACCCCGCGAACTGGCATCACTAAGAGCGTTCTACTGACTATACCATGGCGAATGTATTGAAGACATATTCTCCCTTATCCCACCGTCAAGTTTCCTTTAGAGAACCACGAGTCAAGTGGCCAACATTCAAACGCGAAAAAAGAAATTTGACTCATTTCTTTGTATCCGCAAGTAGAATGCTTGCCTGCTCACTAATTCCTTTCCTCCTACAACTTGGGAATCATCAAAAGAGACATGAAGAAGCACCTTGCTGACCAGGCAAGGTGAGGACGGCTGGTGTGGCAGCTGAAACTGCTGCACCAGCAATCTTCGCGTCAGGACTCCACCGTCACTTAGCATCAGGTGTGGTGGAGTCATTATTCGGACCCATTTTCTTATCTATAAAAAATACTAAATAAAACATTGTGGGTGCCGACTTGCGCGTACGCATTTTCGGGATCGTACCGTGTGGCGGGTTTGATAATATTTGCTCCATCTTCAAGTAATAAAACTAAAAGCTGGTTATACACGGTGTTTCAAAATTACCCCTAAAGCGAAAAAGGTGTTAGGGGGTCCCTTATAGTGATGTTACGGTCTTGAATTTTGACAAACCGGATTTGATCGGTTAGTAATACATGCAAATCGGTTTCCGAACCGAACCGCCAAATTTTCAATAAACCGCGGTTTGAACCGGTTTGAACCGTTTAACGAGTTGACGAATGAAACTTACGAAACAACAGGTGTTAGTTTTTTTTAATTCTACTTATTTTTTTGATTACAACGTGCAAATATTTAAAGGTAATTGAAAAAAAAATATAATAACAGAATTAAAAATGTCAAAAAAAAAACAAATATCTATGTAATACCGTGTTTAAAAAATTACAAAAAAAATATATGAACTCTATTAATTACATAAAACAGTACTTCTTAACTTTGAGAATAAAATATAATTTTAATAATCTACAATATAATAAATACGTAACTTATTTTTGTAAAATAATTTGAGTCGTAGAAACTTAACTTGGTACAAACAACTTAATTAAAAAGTTTTCTAACAACTATTTAGGAATAATATTTGGTCTACTTTTTTAGAAGCTGGGCAATTACGTCGCATATTACATAATAATGAAAACAAAATTACACCGTCAAGTCAGTCAAATCTACCAGAGTCCGTTTCATTTCGGTTCGGTCGGTAAGTCGGTTATGGCTGTTGTATTTAAATTGACGACGCGCGCTAACCGTATCCGCTGCTGTAAGTCGGTTCGTATTGGTCTGTCAAGTTTTGTTAGGGTCGGTAAAGCATGTCAGGAGCCGCACGCGATTTATGGATGGCGGCATAAACAAGAATTGACAGGCGCGCATGCGCGCAGCGCGATACGAACGAATGCCACGGTAGAACCGGTTTACGAAGACGTTAACCGATTCAACTCGGTCCATGCTCAGACCGGTTTGAACCGGTTTGAAAAGTCGAGTCGTTACATCTCTAGTCCCTTATATAGAGCTCATTGCCAATTTATGACAACCGTAGCTTAATATTATTATTTGTCGAAAAAAAATATTTATTTATTTATCTTTAACAAAGTTTCTACAGCGGTTTTTTGTGGAATTTATTACAATAAAATATAGATACAATCTTAAGGCCAATTACAGAAACTAATTATGTACACATTAGATACTAACTGCGTTATTATATGTCGGTAATTATTACATTTGTATAAAAATCATATAATTTACTTACATAAAAATAATTATTCTATATAAAAAAATTAAATGAAATGCAATGAGCTCTATATAAGCGACCCTCTAATACCCTTTTCGCTTTAGGGTTATTTTTGAAACACCGTGTATAATACAAAAAAATATCCGTAATATAGTCATTGCAACATGAATAACATGATACGTAAAGAGACCGTTAAAATCCATGTTTTAAAATTGAAAATTTTGTTATTAACTGACAGCTGTACAAAGAACATTCAACCATTACACAAGTGTATTTATATTTATGATTGTAACAAAAAATACGAATTAATTAATTTATAGAAAAAATATCTGTTTTCTTTCAAACATACGATATTATAGAGAAACCGGGCTATCCAAAATGTACATGTGCACATAATATGTGATGTTGATTTGCTCAGTAATTTTTAAACTAATTGAAGTAACCTAATCAAACGGTTCATTCTAGACGCGTGTGTATGTAACCCTTTCGTTCACACTCGGTTTGTTTACATCCCAAAATGGAGTGAAGCTATTTAGAGAAATATTTACCGCATCGCTGGATTTGTTTCCTAATCGTCTGGTAACGTAAATGTCTTTGATTGGCGTTTCCCGAGGGATAAAAAAGTTAGTAAGAAAACCGTTGAAATTGTTTTGTTTGACAACCTGCATTAGCTGAGGTGCATCTATATCTGTTGATTGTTCTTGACTCCTATTCCTTTTACCACTTGAACCACCACTTTTTTTAAGGCCTTTTAAAGCCAAACAGCAAAAAAACGGAATCCTTATAGATTCGTCATGTCTGTCCGTCCGTATGTCACAGCCACTTTTTTCCGAAACTATAAGAACTATACCGTTGAAACTTGGTAAGTAGATGTATTCTGTAAACCGCATTAAGATTTTCACACAAAAATAGAAAAAAAAACAATAAATTTTGGTTGTTCCTCATACTTAGAACTTAAATATAATATTTTTTTTTTCATCAAACTCATACGTGTGGGGATCTTTGGATAGGTCTTTAAAAATTATAATGAGGTTTCTCATATTTTTTTTTCTAAACTGAATAGTAAGCGCGAGAGACACAGAATGATAAAACTAAAAAAATATATGATGATGATCCACTACGGCTGTAGCATAACCCTACAACGATACTTGTTCTGAAAAGCATCGATAGATATGCAATTTTCTCTGTCAATGTCAATAAAGTTAGCGAATAGGCCGGCTGGACTAAAACGGATGTCATTTTTGTTTGCTAAACAGGACACAGAAAAATTCTGGACTAAGCGGATAGTGTTCATCAGTCATTAATAAGATTTTATGATTGTTTCGTTGCAGCCTGAAGACACGCGAGGGTAACGTTCGCGTGTCGCGCGAACTGCCCGGCCACTCGGGCTACCTGTCCTGCTGCAGGTTCCTGGACGACAACCAGATCCTGACCAGCTCCGGGGACATGTCCTGGTCAGTATACGCGAGATATATGATGCCCTGCAGACTGGCACCTGCCCGGCCACTCGGGCTGCCTGTCCTGCTGCAGGTTCCTGGGGGCCATTCGCTTAACGGAAATGCTTTGAAAACGCTAACGCTTACGATGTTATTTTGTTATTTCTGACCGCCGAAGGTTTTCAAATACCTCACACTCATTTTTTTTAATATTGTTATTACCAATGCAAAAGAAAAAAAAGAGCGCGAGGCATTTGAAAACCTCAGGCGGCTAGAATAACAAAATAAAATCGTAAGCGTTAGCGTTTTCCAAAGCATTTCCGTTAGGCGAATGGCTCCCTAGACGACAACCAGATCTTGACCAGCTCCGGGGACATGTCCTGGTCAGTATATATCCCTGGCTCTTCTCGTGTCCGAGGTTATTGTGAACAAACATGCAGCAAGACGCGGCGAAGGAAGGACATTGTTTGATAATATGTAAAGATGACGAATGAATGAATTTCTTACTGGGGAAGAAAACTGCCAATTTATCCCACCAGATGCGCAGGTGTCGAATGGCCGATATCAACAAATCGAGACAGCTGTCAAAAGTCACAAGGAAAACCGACACATTACGATTGTAAATACAATGCTTGTGCGTATGTACTGACATGTATAGAAAACTCATTATTTGAAATGAATATTAATGCTGTGACGATTTAAAATTCACTGTTTATAATGTGGTTGTAATTATATTGTGTTTGTATTGAAAGAGGACTGCTGAACGTATGCGCCAACATTATTGTTCACGTATCCTTGTTATTTCTCTGATGAACTGATGACATGACTTCACATGGCTTTTCTTATTAAATTTTGCCATTTGCATTTTTAACAGAAATATATCCTTAAGTGGCCGAGTGGTTTGTACGCCGGGTTTCATGGTGTCGCCGACTCGGGAGGTCCCGGGTTCGAATCCCGGTGGGGGCAGATGGTTGTGTGATGAATATGAGCATTTGTACTCCAGTCATGGATGTTTAATATGTATTTTTATATAAAATATACTTACATATGTACAGTATATGTATTCTATCTGTTACCCTAGAATCCCATAACACAAGCCTTACTTTGTGGCTAGGCTAATTGGTGTGAGTGTTGGAAATATTTATTTTATTTTATTTATTTTATTTCCTTATAAAGAAAATGAAAAGGAGACTGCTGTGAAATTAACAAATAGCAAATTCGAATAAGCTATGTGAGGTTCTAGATAATGTTGTTTCAATCCAAAATGCACAACTTCAGTTTATTCGTCAACCTTACATACTTAACATTACTTCCTTGTTATTTATGTGGTAATATAATAATAATGTATTATAATTTTGCATATGTTGTGACATGTAGGGTGATTATGTAAAAAAAAGTTTGCCAATCCCAACTTTCCTCATTAGTTAAATATGTATTACGTCATTACACGGCGGATAAACATGTCGCGATGACCAGGCATTGTGCTACGTTAAAGCAGCCACTAAAAGATATTCAAATAAAACTAGTTTCAACGGTATAGATGCACTGATTTATATATTTATCAGAATAACATAGACAAATAAGTGTTAAAAAAAAATTACTACTCAGTTTTTCCGTGATAATATAACTGCATCCAGTAAAATATGAACAGCGGTGTTGAACTGGCAATATAATAAATATAAATTATTTACACACGCAACCCAAGCCACTTCTAGTACGATGCGGAGCTATATCTGTGTTCAGAGTTCTTTATTTGTTAACCATTTATGCCCAAACGTAATCAATGAGCAATGACAATGTTTTTAATTCTACCCCTCACTTCAATGTATCTCCGTATTTAACTTAATTATTATTTAAAATATGTTATGTTCTCATGGTAAGTGAATTTTGTAATTCTTAATGAGAATAAAGATCTTAAAGTTCGACAAAGTAAATAAAATCATTACTCAGACGACGTTTTCTGTAAAGGATGCGAAAAGTCAATAAATAAATAAATCAGTGCATCTACACCGTTGAAACTGGTTTTATTTAATGAGTGGTATGCGTTAAATATAAGAAAGAAATAAAAGATATTTGTCAATTGTCTAAAATCCAAATTTAAGACATCAAAAATGATATAAGCATGTGTGTTTGAGACTTATCACGAAAAACTACTGGACGGATTTGGATGAAATTTGGTACGCATAAGGTTTATGACCTGGACTTGGGTTCAATGGGATTGTCAAAAATCGTGATATGAGTCTGTCCTCGTCATTGCTATAAAGCATGATAAAGACAGACTGTTGTCAAGTTAACAATTAGCAAACACGAATAACCAAGCAAAGAGCCGGCATGAAAGTTTGTATGTTTGTGACTCAATCACACAAAAAATACTCAACGGATTTGGATGAAATTTGGTACGCGAATAGTCTGTCCTGTATTGCTTAGTTCAGACGCTAGTCTCGCTATCTCATGAAACAGACAAATATTGTTTATATTATAAGATGTAACATGTAGATGGTTTTTTTTCTCGGAATGCAATATCACTAACATTATAGCTATTAACGGGATTGTTAACACAAGGTATATGTTAATGTTTTTTATGAGTCTCCGATATTTCAGCGCAGAAAAATAAAGTTATTATACCATCCTGTATTGCCTCTTTGAGAGGAAAGAATGTTTCAGAATCTCACAGGATTAATTAATAAAAATAAATTTTTCCAATGCTCACACCAATTACTGTAAGGCTTGTGTTATGGGATACTAGGGTAACGGATAGAATACATACACTGTACATATATAAGTATATTTATATAGAAATACATATTAAACATCCATGACTGGAGTACAAATGCTCGTATTCATCACACTAACTTCTGCCCCCACCGGGATTCGAACCCGGGACCTCTAGAGTCGGCGACATAATGAAACCCGGCGTACAAACCACTCGGCCACGGAGGTCGTCGATTAAGGATATATTTCTGTTAAAAATACAAATAGCAAAATTTAATAAGAACTGCTATGTGAAGTCAGCCATCAGTTCATCACACAAATAACAATTAAGTGTGAACAATAATGTTGGCGCATTGGCTGAGCAGTCATCTTTCACTACAAACCACGGTTCCCAACTTAGGGGTTTTGACCCCAGATTTAGGGGCTAGAAGGGTGTAAACGGACTTTTTTAGGAGCTGGAATTTTTTGGGAAATTAAATAGAAAAACAAAGTGTGTGTTTTCTTTCAGTTTTGTGCGTAGAATGGAACGCACCACGATATGAAACGACTGAACTGACTGTGTGGTAGGTTGTTTCCTAAGACTGTATGGACTTAAGTTCTTTGCCTTCCACCAATCAAAACAGCTAATTAAGATTTAACAGCCTGTCAGCTCATTTGATTTTCCATTAGGAAAATGTAATTATTCAATAAAATAATTTACTGTAACTAAATATGTAACGTTTTAATTTATGAGCAACGAAAGAATTTAGGTAATAAGATAATTCTACATAATAAATTTCTATATTTAGGGAATTTTAGGGGACTTTAAAAAATACTTAAAATTTTGGTAAGGGTTGGTAACACTACTACAAACACATTATAGACAGTACATTTTAGATTGTCATAGCATTCATCATCAGCCGAGGTCGTCAAAATTAATGTGAACGCGGCCGTTGTGAATCTTATATACATTTCTCCATTTTCTGATTTTTTTTTATTTTGAACAGCGCCCTATGGGACATCGAAACGGGCCAACAGTGCGGCCTGTTCCAAGGCCACACCGGTGACGTGATGTCCCTGTCGCTGGCCCCGGACCAGCGCACGTTCGTGTCGGGCGCGTGCGACGCCTCCGCCAAACTGTGGGACATCCGCGACTGCCAGTGCAAGCAGACCTTCCCAGGCCACGAGAGCGACATCAACGCTGTCACGGTGAAAATTTATAATATAATATATAATCTATATATATAAAACTCAAAGGTGACTGACTGACATAGTGATCTATCAATGCACAGCCCAAACCACTGCACGGATCGGGCTGAAATTTGGCATGCAGGTAGATGTTATGGCGTAGGCATCCGCTAAGAAAGGATTTTGATCAATTCTACCCCCAAGGGGATAAAATAGGGAATGAAAGTTTGTATGAAGCTTTGCCAATTTTAAACCGATCGGTCTGAGACTTTGCATGGAGGTATAAGAAGAATCGTAGATGAATGTCATTGTGTATAATACAAGCCTGAGAACAAAAACTGTAGTCTACACTTCAGCTGTACACCGAAGCGAAGCGAGGGCGGGCCGCTAGTTACTAATAAAATAAAATGAAATTACACTTTTTTCAAATTGACCCATAAAAAGCTGTTTTGAATCGTCCAATATTTTTTCCTAGTAGGTTAATGATGATGTTGATATTGTTTAAATAACAAATTTGAAAGTTTTTCTTTGTTTAAATCCTAACACGTCAATCTTTAATTGCGTTCTGTAAAAAACTAATATCAATCTACCATTGTGTAATGAAAAGGCTGATGTTGAGATTTTTCAAATGACAAATGAGATTAATCATTCGAAGGAAACTTAAAGAAAAAACATAGCAAAAAATCATACACCCAATCTTCATTGGTACGTCTTTCCTTCACAGATTTCCCCACTAGGTTTTTGATCTGTCTGCCTTATTCTTCAATTAAATTTTTGGTGATTATAGCTGCGTCTCATTACGTGACGATTCTGCCAAAGTCTGGGTTAAAGGAGACAAGGTACATGCTGAGCCTGTACGGTTTTGTTAATGTTGTGCAGTGGCAGTATGACGACTGCAGACTCGTTGAGTATCTGTAACAACACATAGACAGACATTTACACTTATCCTTATCTAGTTCTTTTATAACAATAAACATGTTTTTATAACAATAATAAAATATATAACAATTTGCCTGAGCCATTAAAGTCATTACCTATGTCCTTATCCAGACGTCGATTATATGAACCTAACATTTTTTTCGGGATAGAAGTATCCTATGTGTTAATCTAGGGTGTCAGCTAACTCCATACCAAATTTTATTAAAACTGCTCCAGCCGCTTAGACGTGAAGAAGTAACAAACATACACACTCACATACTCACAAACTTTCGCCTTTTTAATATTAGTGTGATTAAATTGAAAAATGCTATTATTCACTTGCAGAGTATTTTGAGGATAAGTAGGCTGAATGGACTTCAATATATGAAATTTTGATTTTGGACATGTATTATAAAATATATTTTGATGATTTATTTAATTTGTTTGACATTGTACGATACTGATTACTGGAGGATCCTGAAAGCAAATATTGCACATTAATTATTTTACATTTTGATTATTAATTTTATATTTATTCGACATTGTATTATATTGATTATAAAATGATCTGATGGCATGATACTGATAAGGTTAACATAACACTTTAATTTAAAATTTGATTTAAAAACTGTTGCATGCTGTTTAACAGTAAAATATGTGAGACATGAGAATAATCAAACACCTTTTATACCATATTTTTATGCAATAAATTATTATTATTATATTCCTGTGTGCTCCTATAGGCAACCTATAAAAACTTCAACGAAGTTCAAGTATCTTGGTCATATCGTAACATCGAACCTCAAAGATGATGAGGATATAGAACGACAAAGAAGAGCATTGTGTGTGCTTGGCAATATGATAATACGCAGGTTTAATAAAGCTTCCCGTGACGTCAAAGAAACTCTTTTTAGTCTGTCAGACTTTCTACACTTGTCAACTGTGGACCAACTATACAAAAAAGGCGTATGATGGAATACGGGTGGCCTACAATAATATATTTAGGCAACTTATGGGGTTGGAGCGTTGTTGTAGCGCTTCAAAAATGTACTTTGAGGCTAGAATAAACTCATTTAATGCCATTCAAAGAAACGGCAAATTTATGTCCAGGCTTGAGGATTGTAGGAACTCTATTATATCAGGTCTGGCGGAGAGAATTTTCAATACGAATGTGTATAAACGATGGGTGCAATTAGCATCCTGAATCATGATACTATCTAATGTAATTTGTTTTTGTATTTGTGAATGTGGTAATATGACTTCTGTGTATATATAATATTAATATAATTATAAATTGGAACTGATGAAATAATTTGTAAATAGGGATGATGACTAATTTTTTTTTTCTTCGTTTATCAGGTAGATTATCAAAAAGTATTGGACACGTATTTTTTCTTTTTTCACATAATATAAACATTGCAGAGATATATTGATTTGAAAAGTCGCATGACGACACGTTTGAGTACACTTATAAGTGAAAATTCACACAAAAGTGACGTCATGAGCCCCTACTCCCAAACTTTGACGCGCTATAACTTTGTCATTTTTTGGTTGATTGCCCGAAGAAAAAAAACTAAACTAAATAGAATTTCGTTTACCCCGTCATCACCCCTATTGTAGCAATGGATCTTGTGTCTGAAATGAAAGGGTATTATTATTATTATAACGCTCGTTTATCATTCCACTGCAGTTCTTCCCGTCGGGGTTCGCATTCGCGACCGGGTCGGACGACGCCACCTGCCGGATGTTCGATATCCGGGCCGACCAGGAGCTGGCCATGTACTCCCACGACAACATCATATGCGGCATCACCTCCGTCGCCTTCAGCAAGTCCGGCCGCCTGCTGCTCGCCGGATACGACGACTTCAACTGCAACGTGTGGGACTCCATGAAGAGCGAGCGCGCCGGTAACTATACTCATGTGTGCCCCACGCTATACCGCACTATACTGTGCCATACGACATCATATGCGGCATATTATTTACCACCTCACCCCGGCAGCAACATTATTTTAAAGCTCGAGCGACGTACTTTGAATATTAACTTCTCTAAGATCTAAAGAAAATTTTAGTAGAAAAAAATTCACGCGGACTAGACAACAGACAGGACTTGAACCCGCACCCTCCGCTTGTCCACGTAATCTTTTTTCTAGTAACGTTTTCTGAAGATATAATCTAAGTTTAAATGTAAAGAAAATTTTACTAGAAAAAACTAATTCCACGGCGGGTTCGAGTCCCGTCTGCTGTCTGGACCGCGTGTTCTTTTTTTGTAGTAAAACTTTCTTTAGATTCAAATATCTAGCTAGCAGACGAACGCTTAAAAATATACTGTAGAATCGCTCTGCTCCCATAGTAAAAAATCTACTATTTCCTCTTTATTATTTTATATAAATAATAACCACAATTTGTATACTTGAGACTAGCAAATGTTTCCTCTTTATTATATATATATATATAAATAACTACTACAATTTGTATATTTGACTAACAAATCATCGTTTGTTCCAGGCATCCTAGCCGGTCACGACAACCGCGTCTCATGCCTCGGAGTGACCGAGAACGGCATGGCCGTCGCCACCGGCTCCTGGGACTCGTTCCTGCGCATCTGGAACTAAAACTAAACCACAACCACCCCCTAAACCGCCGCCCCTTAACCCCCTTACAATATCCCCCCCTAAAAGACCACAAAACACTACGATCTCTTACTAAAAGAAAAAACTAGAGTTGGCAAAAGAAAGCTTGAAACATTAGGGGTCCAATCGTATGACCCTGATCTACCCCCCATTGCGGACTAAGAAAAATACCACAAAGCTAATTACGATCTCTTACTAAAAGTTGGCAAATGAAAGCTTGAAACATAAAGGGTCCAATCGTACGACCCTGATCAACCCCCATTGCGGACGTAGTAAAACACCACAAAACACTTACGATCTCTCACTAAGAGTTAGCAACAAAACCTAGTTAACTTTATTAGGGGTCAAATCTTACGACCCTAGTTAAATCGAGACGAGGAAAAGCTTTCGCAACTACTAACCGAATCTTGTCTCAGGGGTCGAAAGCCATAATTTTGTCCTATTACAACAAAAATGGTGGATTTTTCGAAACTATTTAGAAAAGAGTGACAAAATCTTTTAAATGTGGGGGTTACAAAAAGATATCAATACATCCACGTGAATAAATAAGAAGATATCAAACTTTTAGATCAAATATGACTTTTCCAAACTTGTTTTGTATACATGGGGTTTAGAAAAGATCAAAGAGACTTGAACAGAAGTCTTTTTTGTATTAAACAAACCGGTGAACATTCACCATCCCTTTCCGTTTCAGTAGGTTAAAGGGGGAGGGAGCACTATTTGCTTTATTATTTAAACAAAAATGGTAGTCGATAATTTCTAACGTGAAGCATTTAAAAACACCGTGCACGGCGGGAGTAGTGTATGATTTCTACGTTCAGGTTATACATAATTATAATAATGTTTATATTGAATAATAATTATAATAATACAACAGGTTACTTACATACGTAGCGCTGTCTGGGTGTATGCTGACGATGGGCTGCACCGTGGAATATGTTTCTTTGACTTGGTAAGTACCATTAACTTTTATTAAGTATTTTTTTTTTGTTATAAGCAGTGCCATCTGTGATCTATTGGAGGCCCTGGGCATATTAGGATATGACTTCCGTTTGGTGATTTAACAGGAACTAGGGACTTTGTATTTGATCAGGGGGCCATTCGCCTAACTTGGAAATGCTTTGGAAAACGCTAACGCTTACGATTTCATTTTGTTATTTCTAACTGCCTGAGGTATTCAAATGCCTCTCGCTCTTTTTTTTCTTTTGCATTGGCAATAATAATATAAAAAAAGAATAGCGTGAGGTATTTGAAAACCTCAGGCGGTCAGAAATAACAAAATAAAATTGAAAGCGTTAGCGTTTTCCAAAGCATTTCCGTTAGGCGAATGGCCGCCTGAGGCGGCCCCCTATCGATCGCGGGGCCTTGGGCACTTGCCCAAAGTGCCCACTGGGAAAGACAGGGTTATAAGGTTGGCAAACAATCGTACGGTACGTACGATAAGCTACCCTTACAATAGGCTAACGGGATAGCTATGGCTATCGCTATCGCTTATGATTTTAATTTGTTATATCTGGCTGCCGAAGGTGTTCAAATGCCTCACGCTCTTTTTTTTCTTTTCCATTGCTAATAAAAATATTTTAAAAAATGGGCGTGAGGTATTTGAATACTTTCGGGAGTCATAAATAACAAAATGAATTCGTTAGGCGATCGGCCCTAGGAGTTCATTATTGTCATAGATAAGTCCTTTACAACTACTCAAATAAAGTATCATCATCAGCCTTTTAATGTTGGGGCCACGGGCCTTCCCCATGGATGGAATAGGAAGATTGGACCATGACCCAACACGCGGGCCCATTGCGGATTGATGGGTGCTAACGCCGGGAGCAACGGCTTAACGTGCCTTCCGAAGCACGGAGGAGCTCGAGATAGTAAATTTTTGGTCACCCATCCAATGACCGACCACTTCAAAAGTTGCTTAACTTTTTACGTCTTTTTCAATTTGAATTTTTTAATTCTATAAATCTCTTCGCATCGTAACCAGTGGGCTGTTGCGTTGTCTATTTCCATTACACAAGGAATGTTGAAACCTTCGGGCCTTGTTCACAATTTGATGATTGATTTAAAATATGCTGCAGTGCGACCAAGATCTTGTGGCACTTAGATGTCATTCACAGGAGTGCGCTGCTGATGAATCAGTGTTGAAATGAGGGTTACTAAGCACGTAAAATCTCCTCACTCAAGGGAACGATAGAATTTATAAAAGCTCGGAAAGAGTAAAATCAAATACAAAAGACTTGTTTGTACCTTCTTAAAACTAGTTCCGATTTCAAATACGCGCCACGAGATCTTAGTCGCACTGTACCAAACAAATCTAGTAGTGCCGATAAAAAAATGCAAGGTTAGACCACAAAATAGATAATACAGAAGGTACTCTTATGTATGTATTTCACTCTACATACTTGCGCTCGGCGGTCTCACAAGAAGTGTCAAGTTTGGTTTGAGCACAAAAAAATATTGTGGTAGTGGCACTCGTACGTATCTAGTTGTTCGATTTATTGCTGAGAATGAAACTAGGAGAATGGAAATAATTATAAACCAATAATAAATAATGTGTTTCAAATTGAATGTTATTGTTATATTAGGTACAAATTTAAAGCGATTAATCACTGTTTATTGAAACAACCGTGCACAGAACAGCAGTTTATAGTTGTAAAATATAGTCATATTTTGTTGCTCCATTTTGCACAAAAATTTCACAGCCGCGTGTCTTAAACGGATGACTCGCGCTCGCACGGTTCCAAGCGGTCCGAGATATCGTGTCCGTGAGCGGAGTCTATGTGTGCGTTTGCTCGAGCGCATTCTGTATGTAGCTTAGCTTCTGTACTATCTATTTTTGTGGTAATACTCATGCTTAGTGATAGTAATGTTCTTCATTGTATTTAAGCATTATGGAATAAGTGATAAATTAGCGAAACAAAGTCCAGCTACATTAGAGGAATTTTGGCTTCCAACACTTACACATTTAAACAACAAAGTAATTAAAAACAAATTCTAAATAGCAACTTTCCTTTTTTCCAGATAATGCATCGCACAATTGCAAGTCGTACAAGCTCTTAAACCTATTATTTATTGAAGAACCAAATACTATTCTTAATAATATCTATGCGTAATTTATTGAATGAGGATTTTTGTTCGTCATCATTATTATTATTATTTACTTATGTATTTATTATAATAAAAAAAAATATTCTACGGTTGGAGCTAATTTATAATTTATGATTTTATTATGTAATGTACTTTAGATTGTAGTGGTCACGTTTAACGTTGAGCAAGAGATTCATATAAATGAGATCTCAACAGACGGATAACGTTGTAATTAATTGTATATGTATAATTTCTATTATTATTATAATTAATTTATTGTTGAATTTCTACATATGGAATTAGATCTATTATTGTAATAGCCATTATTAAAAAAAACGGAAATTTAAAAATTACACCAAGTGAAAAAGTTTATGCTGTATCATGTATAGAGGAGTGTGTCTAAGATTTGTATATGTAGAGATTTTCCAATAAAAAGAGCGATTAAGGCGTTACGCAAATCTCATTTGATCCAATGGTACGTAAATATATCTCGTGTCATTAAAGAAAGGCATCGAAAGTGCCGACGCTAAACATTCTGTCCCTTTCGCACGTTACTTAGTATAGCATGTGCGAGAGGGATAAAATGCCCTGCGTCGTCATTTGCAATTCCTCCCTTTAGTGAAGCGAGTTAATGCCATTGAATTCACAACTTTATTCGAAGTGAATTTCTCGGACTTATCGCTCGACTTGAACAAGAGAGTGTTTTGTGTAATAAATAAATAAATAAATGTAACATTTTATATTATCAGTATGTGTGCTAAAGTTAAGTGGAATCACCGCCGTTTGCTGAACAAGCAGATTGGGCCAACTGTAAAAGCTATTTATACTTCTGACATATTTCAATACAGTGATTTTATTACCTTCTCTATTCTTATTAATACCACACAACCTCTTAGAGTTTCGATACTGTATGTATTTATAAAACGAACTGTCCGCTTTGGATTCTGCTACTACGAATGTGTTGGTAGGAACGCACAATGTCTGCACCCAAAAGACAATACGTATAACGCACATTCACGTTAAAATATTTAACACCGTTCGGACTAATTGATTGATTAATTTTCAACCGAAAAGGGCAGTTAAACATTGGAAACCGCACATTGTTTCTATAAATCGTAAGAGTAAACTTGTTGAGCAACGACAACGTAGGCTGCGTAGGAGCAATTTTACATAGAAAAACGTCTTATCACTCATTAAATAAAACTAGTTTTTACGGGTTAATGCACGAAACTTTATTTATTTATTGACGTTTCGTAGCCTTTACAGGCTTCGTCGTCAGAATGATCGGTCAGAAACGTCAATAAATAAATAAAGTTTCGTGCATTAACCCGTAAAAACTAGTTTTATTTAAAACGTCTACTGTGCAAATTTTGTCTATGGTTTTGCTCAAGAAATTTTCCGCGACCTTTAAATAACATGTTTTCGTAATAACAAGATTGTTATAGTAGTAGAATACAAAGCGCATAACAACATGAATAAATTCATTATCACTCAAATGTCACGGTCCTTGTACAGTTCTGCACGAAATCGATTTTATGAGAAAATATTTCCAGTACGATTTGCAGCATAGCGTTACGATAGCAACAAACGCAGTTTACACGAGTTGCTAACTTCACGAACCAGCGAATCATGAGAGATGCCACAATTTACTATGTCGTTTTAAAACGACGGGCATGCTCTGTTAATAATATGCATTTATCGATTTTATACGACAAATACTTTGAACGAATAAATTAATTGTATTTGTCTTGGTTTGTGTTACGTACCGCTGTGGCGCATCTATTTTGTAATTACCTAGCGCATACAGTCGCACACTTGATTAATTTCAATGTATTTTATCATTCCTACGATTTAAGGCGATTTGGGTAATCGAAAGAATATAGCGTGTGGTGTAA